GAAGTGGCGGGGTCAGTAGTTCCCTCCCGGTCGGTTTTAAAATTGGTGCAGAATGCTCGTGGAAGATCGAGAGAGCGAATTTGTGGTTTTCATCATGAATTTCGTAGTCGAGAAATTTCAAGGGTTGTAGATTACATTTTGCATTTCATAATTATTCTTTCAAAAGCCGCACGCGTAGTGGACATTTAGAGTGCATTAACTTTACGAGAACTTGAGATAGTCAGATTACTTATTTATTTATTTAACTTTACTCATCGTTTTTTTCATACCTGCACTGTACAATTAGAATACACCCACACTTACAAATGTAATAAAACAAACGATAGGTATATATGTCTTGGAACTAATAAAACATATGGTATGTCAGAAAAATAATAAAACAGACGATAGGTATATACTCGCACATATTTCCGTCTCTATGCAAATAAATGTCCTTCTAGACCTCGACTCCCAGTCCTCTCACCCGCCCCTTCCCTCCCCCAGGCGCGAGTGCCAACCGCGAGGCCGAGTGCATCGAGGTGGGGTACGCGCGCTCCGCCGGCTCCATCCTCCACCAGGGCTTCGAGGCCACCAAGGGGGAGCTGCTGCAGAAGTGGGCGCAGGAGGACGCCGACGGGGTGCCCACTTTCTCGGGGCTCACGCAGGTCCTGAAGAATGTAAGCAGCTGCAGGAAAATGTATGGGTGGATGAATTGACCGAGGTGAATGGGTGGCTGTGGATGAACAGGTGAATGACTGTGGATGAGGGGACAGATGAGTGGCCGTGTGATGAGGGGACAGATGAGTGGCCGTGTGGATGAGGGGACAGATAAGTGGCCTTGTGGATGAGGGGACAGATAAGTGGCCTTGTGGATGAGGGGACAGATAAGTGGCCTTGTGGATGAGGGGACAGATGAGTGGCCGTGTGGATGAGGGGACAGATAAGTGGGCGTGTGGATGAGGGGACAGATGATGGCGTGTGGATGAGGGACAGATGATGTTATGAGGGGACAGATGAGTGGCCGTGTGGATGAGGGACAGATGAGTGGATGATGAGTGGCCGTGTGGATGAGGGGACAGATGAGTGGCCGTGTGGATGAGGGGACAGATGAGTGGCCGTGTGGATGAGGGGACAGATGAGTGGCCGTGTGGATGAGGGGATGAGTGGCCGTGTGATGAGGGCAGATGAGTGGCGTGTGGATGTGGGATGAGTGGCGTGTGGATGAGTGGCCGTGTGGATGAGTGGCCGTGTGGATGAGTGGCCGTGTGGATGAGTGGCCGTGTGTGATGAGTGGCCGTGTGGATGAGTGGCCGTGTGGATGAGTGGCCGTATGAGTGATGGTGGCCGTGTGGATGAGTGGCCGTGTGGATGAGTGGCCGTGTGCCGTGTGGATGCCGTGTGGATGAGTTGGATGAGTGGCCGTGTGGATGAGTGCCGTGTGGCCGTGTGGATGAGTGGCCGTGTGGATGAGTGGCCGTGTGGATGAGTGGCCGTGTGGATGAGTGGCCGTGTGGATGAATGAGTGGCCGTGTGGATGAGTGGCCGTGTGCCGTGTGGATGAGTGGCCGTGTGATGAGTGCCGTTGTGGATGAGTGGCCGTGTGGATGAGTGGCCGTGTGGATGAGTGGCCGTGTGGATGAGTGTGTGGATGAGTGGTGGATGAGTGGCCGTTGTGGATGAGTGCCGTGTGATGAGTGGCCGTGTGGATGAGTGGCCGTGTGGATGAGTGGCCGTGTGGATGAGGCCGTGTGGATGAGTGGCCGTGTGGATGAGTGGCCGTGTGGATGAGTGGCCGTGTGGATGAGTGGCCGTGTGGATGAGTGGCCGTGTGTGAGTGGCCGTGTGGATGAGTGGCCGTGTGGATGAGTGGCCGTGTGGGATGAGTGGCCGTGTGCATGAGTGGCCGTGTGGATGAGGGGCCGTGGATGAATGAGGCCGTGTGGATGAGGGGCCGTGTGGATGAGGGGCCGTGTGGATGAGTGTGGATGAGGGGCCGTGTGGATGAGGGGCCGTGTGGATGAGGGGCCGTGTGGATGATTAAATGAGTAAATGAAAAGATGAATGAAAGAACGCTTGGTTACCAGAACCAGCTGACCACTGTTGTCGAGCATGCATGAATAACCTGCAACCTGACCTCTCCCCTCCTCCCCCAAGGTCACGCGGACGGGCGAGTTGCTGGAGTCAACCTCGAAGACGATCCTGGGCATGATCAGGAAGACTCGGGTCGGCAAGCGGTGCCCCGAGGACTGGCTCCTGAAGGGGCTGGAGAAGCACGTGATTCCTCTGATGAACATCGACAAGGACCTTTCGGAGGAGCTTGGTCTAGGTGAGGCTGAGGCGGCGAAGGGAAAGGGGTTCTTGAGGGGTTTGTTCTTGAGCGGTTTGAATTACCAGTATCCCCTAATGGTGGTAATCGTTGTTGTTTTGATGTCAATGGAGTAATACAGATTGTCATTATGGATCCCTCGGCGTCGAAGTGATTTGGGACCGAGAGTCGTTAATTGATGTGGTTGCAATTCCTCCCGCACGTGCCAGTGATGTCGTTCCGGTGCATGGTGGGGTCGCCCTACCCGAACGTGGACGGCACCTGCGTCAACCAGGAGTCGCCTGACCTGGGCGCGATCGGCGCCAAGTTCCTCCGTCTCCAGCCTGCAGCCGCCGGCAAAGATGGTAAGCGTTGGGCGTCTTTACTAACCGGTTGTGAAATGTATTGAGTGAGTAAACATCGACATCTAATGAAATGTCATTAAGAACGTAAATGAGCATATGAATACGAGATTTGTCTCTATTACGATTGTTACGTCTTTTACAGGATTTTCCCTCCGCGAGTCCGTGTCGGGTGAGAAGACGCTGCCCTCAGCCAGGGCGGTGGCCAACCTCCTGAGGAATCACCTACAAAAGCCGCCTGTTACGGGAGTCTTTGGAGAGTGGGGACATTTCATTCAGCGGGACTCCTTCAGCATTCCTGTAAGGAGTGGCATGGGGATAGCTCCTGTGTGGGCTTTCAGGAACATTTATTTTTTGTCGTATTTCAGTATGAACACGTAATCATTTAAAGATATATCGACGAAACTGAAGTCCTTCCGTCTTGCCAGGAATCGCCCTGGGCGGAGGACGTGGATTGCTGCGCAACCCCCGAAGTGGAGGACTGCGCCCCCATCTACCTGGAGAAGGACGACCCCGACCACTCCACCATCCAGTGCATGAGCTTCAAGAGGTCGGCGAAGGCACAAGCAATCCTTGGTGAGTGGTGTCAGGGGACAAAAGCATGAAGGGAATGGAAGGAAACCCGTCAGAAAGGGATTGGAAAGAGCGAAAAACATCTAATAGCAAATCCATGAAATAATGGGTTAAATATGAAACCTTGAAGCCTTCAGTATTTTACAGTAATTAGATCTTTTTAATTGTTTCCATTATCTTGAGAGAAAATTTAGCTGCTCGTCTGAAGTCCATCAATTTAATGAAATATATTCACAAACTTTTAAAAGCAAATCTCGGATGTGACGTTTATCTGTAACGCTAAGGTAAGACACGAGGGATACGAAATATTGAAATCCCGTTTTAAGAGTGAAAATAGATTTCCTAAGTCACGTTCAAGCAAAATACTTATTTCAAGACTTATTCATGTTCCTGGGATGTTCAGCACAGATGACGTGCAACTGTATCTACAATTATGATAGATGATCTGCGTGTGATATGCCATTGTAATTCATTAAAGGACATCGAGAGACGCTCTCCCTCGTGTCGACGTATTTGGATGCCACGCCCGTCTACGGACCCACCAATGAGGTCGCCTTTTCGAGGAAGACGGGCTACTTCGGCTACCTCAAGTAAGTTTTCACGTTCGGCATCCTGTAATCAACACTTCATTTACATACATTTTTTGTTGGGGGGGGAGCTTGAATTTGCGATATTATCAATATTAATAACTACTTTCAACCTGATCAGAGCGCCTGAGAAAGATGAGGAAGAGACTGCTAGTGGCAAGAAGAAAGAGGTGAAATGCGCTGCCCCGGAGAGCTTCCAAGGATGTTTCCAGTTGGCGGAAGGAGACGATTGGGTGTGTAGTGGAATGAAAACCCGTTCGTTATGGATAGTGTACATGTTAAAAAATATGCTATGCGAGTGCCTTTACGTTACTCGAATTGGTGATTAATAAGACGTCTGCGTCCATCACAGCTGGAGAATCTGAGGTTGTTGTTTGTGATGGAACACAATCGGATCGTGGACGCCTTGGCGGAGATCAACTCCCACTTCGATGATTCGCTGCTCTACAACGAAGCAAGGTCAGGCCCTTTTGCACATTTTCGTTCTGGTGTTTGATGTTTTAGACTCGGTAGTGAGCCTAGGTCCAAATGTTTTATTATGTTGCTGGTTAAAATAAGCGGATAGTATTGCAAAATAGTGAGGAAATCTTAAACTATTAAACTACAAACATTATTACCTAAAGTTTAACGAACTACTGAACTGCCACTAGACGCTGTCATCGATTTTATTCACCACCTACCAAACAAGCTTCATAGGCACGGACAACTTTGATATATTCGATGTGTGGTTCTGTCATACTGCAAATAATACAATTATTGGGAAACGTCAGAAAAAATAACTCGTTGTACCTACTGCTAGGAGGCCTTGGTATCATATAGCTCTAGGACTTTGTACAAGTAAAAACTGTTGTGCAGCCATTTGAGAATATATCAGATGGATTACAAGAACCCCATACAAGCAGAACTAATAAAGTGTACGATATTAGTAAGAGGTACTCGAAACACTATTTCCAAACTGCTCATTACTTTAACCTCAGGATCCAACACATTGTTGAACCTAGCCTTGATTTTTTTGTGATATACATTAACTCCGATATTATGTTTTAGAATTATAGCTTTGTTGAGCATTTAGGGATTGTAAACATTTCCAGGTTGGCAGTTTTGATTGCGGGGTTCTAAACATACCCCAGATCGCCCAGGTGTTGGAAATGGCCCTACATTTTTTTAACGCATATATTGTCCCAATTGACAATTTATCGGCTGTTTTGCTACATGCATTTGAATTGTACCATCCTAATACATTGTTAAAATAGATTAAAAAAAAAAAAAAAAAAAAAAAAAACACATATGGGCTCTTCTTGTCTGCTGTACTACTTGAGTACCTTCCTTTGTTTGTGACCCTCTTTGAGGCCTGTTCCCCACTCTGGCAGACTTTGATGTTAGCAAATACCAAAGGTGCGTTGGTCTCCAAATTATTTGCCACAGTCCACAGTGAGGGGTTTCTGCATCTAATTTGGTTTGCAATAATTATTTACAAATTAATTTTCGGACCCAGTAAAAGGGCAAGGAAAGAATGGCAGATTGATTTCCTAACCTGCCTGAACTTTGACTAGAAGAGGTCATAACAATCCTTACTTATGCATGGTTGAGATGTCTGTGGAGAGGTCAGACTTTTCTCGGTTTGGGCTGCAGGCCTAGAGAGGCCAGACCTCGAGTCCAGCACTTGGACCATTTCATGGACAATGTTTTGGATGATTTTCTGTCTTGTCCAATTTAGCAGCAGGTCTGACACATTCAGCCTGTGCCTTTTGTCTTCTTTGGACCATCCGAAGACTTGGAAGGCTTTTAGGTGACTGCCAGTCTTTTTCTTGCCAAATTCGTCATTTTTATGGTCAGTCCGAGGGTGTTTGTTTTTGTTTGCCTTAAGGTTTAGCAGTTACTCAGACCTCGCCCGTTTGCATAGGATCGTCATTATAGAAACCACGCAGATTCTCTGTATAACGTTATTCGTCACACGGATAAATAATCGAAATAGATACTCAAAGATAATTTTGACACGAGTACATTGTGGTAGAGACAATAAGAACAAGGGCGGACTCGGGTTTTAAGAGGAGTGTCGAGGTCATTGTTTAGGAAAGGCTTTACTAATAATGAAGTAAGGTCATTCAAGCCCCATTAAGTAGCTCTCAGATTGAAACTGGACACTTTTCTAGGTAACAGAGCTTCTAGCATTTTTCTTTCACAAAAATTCATCTTACAATTAAGCGTCTTTCCAATTAAATTAGTGACCTTCATCGATGAAATATATGACACACCCTTTCAAATCTCGGGCGTGCCTGCATGTTTATTCCTTTTTCCAATTGTCTGGATTCATCTTTGGAAAACTTGGGGTGGTCCTTGCTTGGAATAGTGCAAATAACTGAGGAAGTGTAGAAAGGTATGAATGAGAATGCATATCTTCACAATACAAGATATGTATTTGACAGGTTTCAAATACTTACAGAAATACATGCATTAGAGAAAATACATAGCATATTTATATTACTTAGAAGCTGATGAATCACTTAACGATTGTGACCTTGCACTCGTTACACACATAATTGCTGCCCTACCTAGGATAGATCTAGCTGATGCGGTGTTTATATACTTCTGTCGAGATGTATTCAGCTTCCATGACTTTCCTTTTGTTTGTTCAATCCTTCATGGATTACTAAAGTTTCCTTCCAGTTTGGTAGAAGTCCGTCATCTGCTTGAACCACTATGGCGTTGGAAGTCCTGTGGTAACGGACGTCGGATCGATGTTCGTTGATCCTGTTGTTGAAGCCACGTCCGATCTCAGCAAAGTATGCTGCAGGGTATGCGATATACTGCATGTTAGGCTGTTTTTCGGCTGCTTCCTTTTTTTTTTCTTTTTTTACTTTTCACCGGATGTGCTGGCGATTTTCGCTGTTGCCAAAGTATTTGCTAATCGCTTGGGAAACGTTATAAGGTGGTAATTTGAGAAAATTAGAGGATGCCACAAGGTTTAATCAGATAAGCATGTTCTCCGCCTTTTTTGAGGTCTAGCAGGAAGCCTCTGGGATGATTAATACAAGAATTGATTACATAGGTAACCTCAGTCTCAAGAAATTCATGGCTGGAGATTCTCAGTTCCCAGAGAAAGAAGCCAATAACAACCTCGGATTGTTTTATTGTTGTGGGCGGAGTAATAGTGGATATAATCGTCTTTATTTGTAGGCTTTCAGTATAGGGAAATATAAGCCGTCATCACCCCGATGGATCAGTGTCCTGGAAAGATAACTTCTGATCCTCTTCCTCCACGGTTGACTGGATTTTCTCGTGGACAGAGTTCATCTGTGTATGGTGCTGACACGACCTTCTGGGACGATGACGAGGACATCATTTACGTATGGAAGCCAAGTTGAATGTCTGACGATTATATCCTTGTAGTGACCCATCTCCAGCTTCTCCATGAAAAAGCAGAATTTGCTAGTATCCTTCCCCCTGCAAACTCGAAGAAGCTAAAGTCTACTCATACCTTCACGAGGCTTATGAAGTGGTGCTTTGGCAGCGGAAGTTCATCTACCATGGAGCCGGTAACTCTCTCGACTGTCCGGATTGCTCTGTCTGTGGGGACTTCTGTGAAAAGGGATTTAACATCAAAACTAGCCAGTTTTTAAAATTTTTGTTTACTGAACTCTGAAGACATCTGATGTACCCGGAATTCTTCAGGTGGTAATCACTGACTCCCATAACGCTGAAGAGGGGTTTCACCAAACACTTAGCCAGACGATGGGGAGCATTGCCACATCGAGAAGAGATCGGTCTTGTGCACCTTCGGGAGACATGGATGGGTTGCGGGGGGCATCCTCCAGCACATGAAGTAAGCACAGTGATGTATCTGTGATGGATCACTAGGGAGTGGCCACACAGCAAGCAGTAATCCCTTGGATGAACCCTTTGTCGATGTCACTATCGGTTTAGCAGTGGTTTGAGACAACGTAGTCAATTAAGTCCTTGCTCTAATTTTCTCGTATTATCGCTTACTTTCTGAACCAGACTGCTTCCGTCTTTCCCTCGCCCCTTGTCACTTTCAAATTTTGGACAATAGATTTTTCATTTTACATGGTCTTGTTTTCTTCTAGAGAAAGTATCTTTACAATATCCCATTTGCAGCAGAATTTTTCGCTCGGTGCCGAGCCCCGCGGCGGGGAATATTTTTCCCGCTGCGCGGGCCCTTGCTCAGGAATATTTTCTGACGAATTGAAATTGATCGTAACGTTTCGAACTCTTCACCAGTTTCTCTTCAGACAAAACCGAAATGGATACAAGGAAAGAATTTTGACAGTTCAGTTCATTTCGATTTGCGAAGACTAGCTTCGTCCGAGCCTTTTCTCTAGAGTGGCCTGGCCTGTGTCAGTTATTTCTAGTTGACTCATGTGTTTTCTTTGAACTGTATGCTTAGCGTGGTGGCTGGATTGCAAGCAAGCAATAGAGCTGCCACGGTGTAATCATGCGGCATACCCTTTTTACCAGCCCAGTGGCTGTGGTGGGTGGTCCCTGTCTCAGAAATTGCGTGTGATCACAATTCTATAAGTAATGTAACAACGTGGCATTAGGCTCGCTGCAATACTTGCATTCCCTGAAAATCACGTCATTAAGAGTTTGCCAAGCGCATGGGTAACCTAGTCTTAATCTGTACAGTATGACTTCGGTCCCTCTATGGCTCATAATCGGTGTCATCTGAGACCACTTGGCAGAGAGCGAATTTGCGGTATTTTCTTTGTGCATGCTCCGGAGAACTGCAAGTTCTGTAACTTTGGCTCCTTTGGCTTGTGATAACGATAATGGGAGTTGGGGCATGCCCCTGCCCTTTTTGGCTAGTCTGTCAGTAAGCTCATTCCCTTGGATACCTATGTGGCTTGGGACCCAGTTTATGATTATTCTTCTACCCTGATCAAGGATTCTCTAGGCTATGGTGAGTGCAGAGGTTAGAAGGTAGATGTTGTCTTAGGGCATGCTATGCTGTGGACTGTCAATGGTTCTAGAGTGTATGTATGACCATGTGTGGAATTCATGACGAACACATTGCAACAGGAACAACGAAGGGAAGGACAAGAAAACACACGAATATGCCGAAGGCCTTTTCCCTATTGCTTCGTCAGGCCATACATGTCAAGAGGTACATGGAGGAGTATTTATACAAACGATAGGTGGTCAGGTCATGTCGGTAATCAGGTGAGCGACGACCTTGGATAGTTCGTGGCTCCCCGTAGCGGTGTTGATGTTTTGTGTATGAACGCCGCTTCTACCATCTTCCTTTTGTCGTGGGGCCAGACCTTGCTTAATGATGGAGGCCTGGGACCACTTCGGGAGGTGACCATCAGTGTCTACGTGAACAATGAAGGAGCTTCTCGTGTCATGGCGTCGGATAGCGCTGCAGTGTTGGCTGATTCGTTGTTCGTGCAGTCCTCGTGCTGTCTCACCTATGTAGACTTTATCACAACCACCACAGGGTA